GAGAAGCTGACGGATGCCTTGGACGCCGACGCCGAGTCTGCGGCGGCGGTGGCGCCTGGGGCCGCGGCCTCTGCCAGCTCTGCCGCGAGCAGTGCGGTGAGCTTCGGTGGCGGGGGCGCTGGGCCAGCGCCAGCGGGGCTTGCTAAGCCCCCGAGCGCCTTCAAGGCGCCTCGTTTGCCTTCGTTCGCTGCGCCCGCCTCGGCTGCCTAGGCCAGGCGCGCTGTGCTTCGTTGTGGCGGCGGGGCGAGGGCCAGGAGAGATGGGCGGGAGTTTGATGAGACCCCAGGGGTGGGATAGCGTCGGGGGTACCAAGGGCGGGGGCACTAAATGGGGGGGGGGGGGGGGGGGGGGGGGGGGGGGGGGGGGGGGGGTGGGGGCAGGGTGAACAAATCTATTCTTGCGACGGTAACGTATGATAGATATTACGATGACGACGGTAATGCGAAGCACGGTGGCGAAAATCATGATTCCTCCTCCTCCTCCTCCTCCCTCCTCCTCCTCCTCCTCCTCCCTCCTCCTCCTCCCCTCCTCCTCCTCCTCCTCCTCCTCCTGGCACCCAGCCCTGAACGGGGGCCCCGCGCGCTGCGAAATTTTTGCGTGACTCTAAAAATTGTTAGAGTCACGCAAAATTTTGGTTTCCCTGGGCCCCTCGTCGTCATGGCTGGTTGCCTCCTCCTGAACCTGGCCCTGGCCACTCGTTGCCGCGGCTGGGCGCCTCGCCACTTGCGGCATTGCCGTCGGTGGCCTGTTTTCCGCCGCGCGGGCGTCAGTGACTCACTCACTCACTCCCCCTCCTCCTCCTCCTCCTCCTCCTCCTCCTCCTCCTCCTCCTCCTCCTCCTTCCTCACCCTCACGCCCTTCCTCCTCCTCCTCCTTCTCCTCCTCCTCCTCCTCCTCATCCTCCTCCTCCTCCTCCCTCTCCTCCTCCTCCTGCTCCTGCTGGGGGAGGGCGGTGGGAGCAACGGTGGGGTGGCAGGGACGGCGGAACAGGATGACGACGTCGATCACGGCGACAAGAGTACGACGAGCCCTGCCGCCACGGCCATTCCTGGGTGCCGAGACTCAGACTCAGGTGGCATGCAACCGATTTTTTCACAGCCCAGCTCGCTTCCCAGCTGTGCGTTCTCTTTGTCCTCTTCTCATTGTCGCCCCCCATCGTCCTCCAAGCTCCCACCCTTATCCTCGTCATCGTGTTTCCCCCTTGTACCTTTCAAAAACTCTGCTTCGTTATTCTCCCAATCCTGTGCACCGCCCTGCAGTATGTTCAGCGTTCTCCTCGGCTGGCTGCCATTGAGTCTGGAATCACGGGGGCGCAGTCGACGGCAGCTGCACCTCCTCACCTCCTCAGAGAAAACAGCAACCCCAAAGCATCGGCAGTTGTTGAGATCACCCATCGTTGGTCGTCGATGTCACATCTGTCGTTGCATCCCTCCTCCATGAGTTGATCCCTCCTCCCTCTCACTCTCCTTCGCTCCCTGCTTTCTTCCCCCTTCAGCTGCCACTGCCTCCTCTCCTCCCCCTCGTTCTTCCACGTTTCAGATTGTCCTCCTGCGTCCTCCCTCCTTCTCCTGCCGAGCTGGCCCGTCCGAGGCTGATCAAGCGGGCGTCGCATGATACGTGCTCTCGGCATTCGTTGCACCAACCAACCAAAACAACACAAACATGAGGAACCCATTGGATGTATGATTTTCTTAAGGCATCACATCAGGCAACCAGAGTGGCAACACTTATGGCTTTTTAATTGTTGTGAAGCCATGCGCCTTTCAAGAAAGCAAACATGCAGCTCTTTGGAGGTCTTGGAAGCCTCTTGGAGCCATTTTGGAACGTTCTTGGGGCCTTTTGAAGCATCTTGGGAACCATCTTGAAGCATGTCAGGCTATCTTGAGCCATCTTGGAGATCGTCTTGGGTTCCCTGAGGCGCTCTTGGAGCCGCCTTGGGCGAACAAGTACCCTCTGACACCTCGCGCCCCCCGCCCCCCCGTCCAGGTTCAGGGGAGGGGGTGGGGGGAGGGGTACATCCCTCCCGGAAGGGAAGAAGGGGTTCGGAAGAGGAACCTCTCTAGACGACATACGCCCTCAAGGGCTGGTGGGACTCGTCAGCCAGATGGCGTTCATCTCCAAAACGCGTTGCATCACAGCGTGCCCAGTTTCATACACAAGGTACACGTATCGTTTTTGAATTTCGTGTGGCTCGTTAAGGAGCGGCAGCAATATGTGGCACCAGCCACTGCCCAGACTCATGCCACGTGCCACGGCGCCTCATGTTTGCGCGCCTCAGATCCCTGACCATACCAAAATCACCACTAAACCCAACACGCGCGTGCGCGCAGAGCGTGCGCATCGACTACACGCACACAGCAAGAAACGTTGAAAAGGAAACTGGCAAGCCGATGAGCGAACACTTTATCGAATGCGCATCCGACGGCGCTGACGACGACGCCACGGGCCCGACATTTCGCATGCGCATTAGCGCCTGGACCACGCCAGCACATGCGACGTCAATGCCTTTGCGCGCAAGAAGCGCGCCTCAATACAGGCACACACGCGCGCACAGTTTGCCTCTTGCGCCCGCGCAGCTAACTCACCACTGCCGCATGCAAGCAATGCGCGCACCAGGGCAAGTACATCGCAACTCTGTCGCAATAGTGAGCACGCATCGGTTTTGGCATCGTTGCGTTACCCGTGCGCCCCATGTTCGCGCTTGAGGCTCTGCCTTGCTAGATAGAGTGAACGTAGGTTTGTTAACCGACGCTCACGCAGCCAGACAAGATAATCGCGGGTCCTATGTTTCGAAAAACCAGTGCTGGAAACACCCGTCATCGGTATCGGCAGATCAGGAACGGAGCGGGGGCGAGGATGGTCCCCCCGCAGGGGGAAAGGGTTGGCACCTCTGGGGTCCGCGCAGTGAGAGATGAGATCGTCGTATGTCAGGGGAGGGAGCAGGCCCGGGGGGCGGGAGGAGGAGGAGGAGGAGGAGGAGGAGGAGGAGGAGGAGGCTCCAGGTGGAGGAGGAGGAGGAGGGGGCGGAGGAGGGGGCGGAGGCGGAGGAGGAGGAGGAGGAGGAGGAGGAGGAGGAGGAGGGGGGGAGGAGGAGGAGGAGGAGGAGGGGGAGGAGAAGGAGGAAGAGGAGGAGGAGGAGGCGGAGGAGGAGGAGGAATAATAATATTAATAGTACTCATACTAACAATAATAATACGAATACTCATAAGAAGAAGAATATACATAACAATAATAATAACTATAATAATAATACTAATAATAATAATAATAATAATAATGCCAATAATACAAATGATAATATTAATAATAATAATCATACTACTAATAATAATACTAATACTAATAGTAATAATAATGATATTACTATAAGTAATAATAATACTCATAATACGAATAAGAACAATAGTAATAATAATATTAATAATTATAATAATAATAACAATCGTAATAATAGTCATACTACTACTACTAATAATAATACTACTAATACTAATGATAGTAATAATAATCATAATAATAATCATAATGATATTTATAATACTGAGAGTAATGATAATAATAATAATAAGAAGAAGAAGCTAGTAATAATACTCAGAAGAAGAATAAGAATACTAATAATAATAATACTAAGAAGAACAATAAGAATAATACGAAGACGAAGAAAATATCAATCATAAGAAGAAGAATAATAATACTAAGAATAATAATAATAATAATAATAATAATAATAATAATAATAATAATAAGGGAGGAGGAGGGGGAGGGGGAGGGGGAGGAGGAGGAGGAGGAGGAGGAGGAGGAGGAGGAGGAGGAGGAGGAGGAGGAGGAGGAGGAGGAGGAGGAGGAGGAGGAGGGAGGAGGGGAGGAGGGCGGGAGGAGGAGGAGGAGGAGGAGGAGGAGGAGGATGCGGGTTGGTGAAAGGGCGCCTCGCGTCTGTGAATCTCCGGGGTGTATTCGAATACCTATCGGTGGCAATTGTTGGAGTGTTCGGTCCGCCTGTGACCGGGGTCAAACTCTGTGGCGGACCCGCTCCGCGCTCGGGCCCCAAGGGGCCAGGGCTCCTCAGAGTTCTGGGAGGCGCGCTCCAGAAGAGGCCTCGCCCTCCGGCCTGGCCCCTCGGCGCACCCTCTCTCCCTCGGCGGAGGGCTGGGCGGAAGGCCGGGCGGGCGCGGGCAGGAGCGAGGCGGCGGCGGGCCCGCCGGCGGACGCCGGCGCCAGGCCGGCGGAAGGCGGAGGAGGTGCGGGTGAAGCAGTGGCGAAGCGTCCTTGCTTGCCTATAGGCCCACCAGAGGATGTTCTGAGAACCGTCGTGTGGTCTGCACGAGAGGTTCGCAGGACGTTTCTGACCGAGGCTGTCGTGTCTTAGCACATCCGGTCTGTGTCCTAAGAACATGGTTCCTGTTCTTGGAGTCTTAGGGCAGTCTTGGGCTCTAAGAGAATGTCGTGGTATGTCTAGAGGAATGCCGGGACGGGCGGTCCCTGCTCAAGCGAGTGAGAGGTCAGCATGAGCGACGGGAAAAAAAAACGGGGTCGACTGCGCCGACACTCGCGCGCGTGCTTCCCGCGTGCGGCCGCGCGTGAGCGCCCTCTGCTCCGCGCGGTGTGCCATGTCGGCGGCCCGCGTGCGCCGCGGCGTGGGGCCGCGCTGCCTTCTCGTGTGAGATCCGACTGTTCTCGCCGGTCGCATGTTTTGGGCCCATAGGGTCTCCACAGCTGGCCGTCTGGGGCCGCCCGCCGCCCCGGCCCTGGGTCTCGGAGCTGGCCGCGCGGCCGCGTGCGGGGGCGGGCCCGCGACACGTGGCTGCCCGACGGGAGCCGCTGCCGGTCCTGGGCAGCACGGCCTGTTGGGCACCATATTCGTTTTTCCATGCCCACCTCGGGCGTTGGACCAGCAGGGGTTTTGGGGTGAGAGAGGCGTCGGGCGAGAAACAAGGGGTCGTGATCGGGGCTCCACCGAGGCAGCACCATGCATGCGGCGCTGCGCAGGAAGTTCGGGGGCAGATTCTTGACCGCGTTCAGCGCCATCCATGAGTTACTCCTCATCATCACCCATTAAAGTTATACCTGTTGTCATCGTCCTCATTATCCTGCACCTCTCCCTCCTCCTCTTCCTCCCATCGGTGTAGCCTTTTGGCCCCCAGTTCAGCTGCCAGCGACTGCGTTGAGGCGCCTGCTGTGCTCGCCAGGTCGGCCGAGCCCCGCCACGCCTCTGCAGATGATGTACGCCGAGCCCACGCCCCCGCAGATGATGCACGCCGAGTGGCCCGCGCAGCCCGTGAAGACCGCGCAGGTGTGCTCGGCCGACGCCGGCTTCTTCCAGCCCCCCGCGGGCTACGTGATGTGCATGCTGCCCGCGGGCCGGTTCCTGGCCGAGTTCTGCGCCCCCGCGGGCGCGCCGCCCGCCCCCGCCGGCTTCGGCGGGGCGCCGCACGGCTGCTTCGCCCCGGAGGCCCGCCTCGGGCCCAAGGAGGAGCACCTGGCCCTGGCCGGCGCCGCGCCGCCGGAGGGGCAGCGGAGCGCCGCCGCCTGCGCCGCGGAGCCGGCGCCAGAGCCCGCCGCGGAGGAGGCGCCCGCGCCCGAGGAGCTGGAGCGCCGGAAGCGGCTGCTGCGCCTGACGCCGAGCGGCGCGACGAGTGCGGCCGTGCTGCTGGCCAAGAGGAGGCAGATCGAGCAGGCCCGGAAGGGTGACCGCGCGACGGTGGTCGGCCGCGCGCAGAGGGGAGGGGGGAGGAAGAGGAGGAGGAGGAGGAGGAGGGCGGAGCAGGAGGAGGAGGACAGAGGAGGAGGAGGAGGAGGAGGAGGGAGGAGGGGGGAGGAAGAGGAGGAGGAGGAGGAGGGCGGAGCAGGAGGAGGAGGAGGACGGTAGGTTTGCGTCGTGTCGACCAGCGGCGACCCCAGCGCGGGCGTTCAAGGTTGAACGCCGCAGGCGACCCAGAATCGATCGATGTTGAACGATCGGACGTTGCGGCAGCGGCCGATCGTTCAAGGTGGAATGATCCCTGCGGTGTCAAAAGCCAACGCTGGGGTCGGCACGACACGAGCCTGCCGTACCCCCGCCCCTTCTGAGGCGGCGCAGGCGCCCCTGCTGAGAAGCGGGTGAAATTGCTTCTGCGAAGCTGCTCCGGGCGTGCTTCTGCCGAGCTGTTGTTGACTGTAAGAAGCCACTCCGTGCTTCTACGAAGCTGCTGGGGTGCTTCTAAGCGGCGCCCTGGCTTATTAAAAGGGTGGCCAGCGCCTTTCTAAGAGGCAGCCTCCTTCGAAGAAGCCTTCCCGCCTCCCTCTACCCTCCTGTGCGCGCCGCCGAGGTGGGTGCGTTGAATCTCGCCGGCCAGAAGCAGAATCCGAAGGCTCCGCAGCTGCGCTTCCTCAAAGAGCTCGAGGACAAGAAGAGGCAGGAGACGAAGGAGAAAACGCGGCATGCACACTCACAGAACCTTCGGAGCCTCGCACGGATTCCATGGATCTGCGCCAGACCCCCCTCCCTGGCGCGCGGAGCGCGCCGCCGCGGAGGGTCAGCGCAGGCCCAAGAAATCCGCGTGGAGCTCCGATGGGTTCATGCGTATGCAGCAGCTTCATGAAGAGGGAGCGTGGAGGGAGGTTACCTTGCAACATAGTTGATGCGTTTTGGGTTTACTCTGGTCCTCCTCCTCCTCCTTCTCTTCTTCTTCTCCCGAGGAGGAGCGCACGAGACGATCCTGCACGAAGGAGTCCAGCGTGGTCTCCAGCGAGTCGACGGCAGCCCCGATCTCGGACGAGGAAGCCGCAGACCGCGACGAGGCAGCGTGCGCGCCTCCCTCCCTGGGCTTCGCCGGCGCCCGCGCCGCGCTGCTGAGCTACCGCTGCGTGGCGCCGTGCCAGAAGCCCAGGCAGCTCCAGGGCCTCTTCGCGGACGCCGCCCGTGCCGGCCCTCGGATGGGGGCCAGATGGCATATGCGCACCGCGCCGTCGGGTCGGCCACGGAGCCGCCCGCTTCGACGAGGGGAGTCGGTGTACAGGCGCTGCAGCACCCCCATGGCTTGGGACGCCGGGGCGTCTGTACACCCGAGCTCCTCGGCCGACCAGACGACGTGGCGCAGACCCCGCCACAAAAGTGCATACGTAGACACCCTGCAATGGATTGCTCTTGGGCCTCAGGGCAGGGTGGCGGTGTATAGGTCGCCAGTGGGAGCCGGCGACTTTGTGCACTGGCGCCCTCCCTGAAGGTGCCTGCAGAATTCGTCGGAGGGCGTCTGTGTACATCTTTTCGCGACGCGGGTGCATCGCGAGCCCCTCCCAGGCCCGGAGTGCCCGAGCGCGCCCGCGCTGCGCAGGCAGTGCAGCGCCCCGGCCCCCGCCGCGCCGCCCCGTCCCGTGCTCCAGCGCCAGCGCACCGAGCCCGCCCCTTCACCGCTGTCGGCCCTGCGCAGGGACCTCGGCGAGCTCGAGACTCTGCGGCGTGACGTGAACAGCCTCCTGAACAAGGTGTGCCCCGAGAAGTTCGGGACCGTCGTGGAGAAGCTCACGGCGATCCGGGTGGAGAGCACGGAGGCGCTGGAGATCGTCATCGAGCTGATCTTCAAGAAGGCGCTGTCGGAGCCGCACTACAGCGAGACCTACGCGGACCTGGTCTTCAGCCTCCGCTCCGCGTTCCCCGAGTTCCCCGCGCCCGACGGCGGCAAGCCCATGACGTTCAAGTCCTCCGTGCTGCACATCTGCCAGGCCGAGTTCGAGGAGCTGCTGGCCGCGCCCGAGCCGTCGGAGAGCGAGCGGGCGGGGCGCCAGGGCGAGGACCTGGAGGCGCTGTGCCAGGAGCGCCGGGGGCGCATGCGCGCGAACATGCGCTTCGTGGGCCACCTCTTCCTGCGGCAGCTCTTGTCCGCGAAGGTCGTGGGCGGCATCCTGCGCGAGCTCGTGCTGTGCGACATGGAGGACGTGGCCCCGCAGGAGCACGCCCTCGAGTGCGCGCACGAGCTGCTGAACAGCGTCGGGCTCACGCTGGAGTCCATGCCCTTCGGCCAGGTCGCGCTGCCGGTCGTCTTCGGGCGCCTGCGCAGCCTGAAGGCCAGGAAGGGCGCGGACGGAAAGGGGATCTACAGCAAGAGGATGCAGTTCATGATCCAGGACCTGATCGACACGCGCGAGGCCGGTTGGACCCGGAAGGTCTTCCGCAGCAGCGCCAAGACCATAGAGGAGATCCGCGCCGCCGGTCCGCAGCATAGCCGCCCTGATACGCCCGTTTTGAAACGCAGCACGTGCCGTGCTCGGAATGTGCGTGCCAATACGCTGCGCGTTGACTCAACGTACTGGCCCTCGTTTTGGCGAACGTATCGCGCCAGACCTACGCTTTCAGTCTACGTGTTGAGCTCCGTATCAATACGCTTCGTGTCGTGTGTTGCGTATCGGGGCAGCCAAGGTACGCAGCAGCAGGGCGGCGAGACGGTGCTGGTCGGGCAGAGACCGCTCTACATGGCGGGCGAGGCCGAGCGGTTCGTCCGCACGCGCACGGCGTGAGCGCCCGGCTTTCGGCAGCGGCACCGTCGATCAGCGCGCGTGCGCGTCGCCGCCGCCGTACAGTCTGCTGTGTAGTCCTTCACGGGAGCCTCAGAGGGTCCCAAGAATTCCTTGCGGTTGGGGGGGGGGATTGCCTGGATCTCGTTGGACTTGGTCGACATTTGGACGACATCGGGACATAAGACGAGAGGGCGGAGAGGGGCGGATGATATTTGGATGGGGTCCGGTCGAAGCCACGCATCTGATAGGGTTGCGAAGGTCCACAGAGGCTTCCGTGAAGGCGCACCCGAGGTCCGACGGCCCTCAGGTGGGGTGCCTGCGTGCCACGCGCCGTGGGGTCTGGCAGCCCTCCCGTCCTTTGGGCCTGGCGGCCATCCCGTCACACTCGAGGAGAGACACACACGGGGACCGTGACCGCCGTCGCGGGATCCTGTCGGCGCCGACCTTGGTCAAGGTCCATGCCGGCCGTCGCCGATCCGCGAGGATGATCCACGATTCGACGCTGACCAGGATGGGCGGCGACCAAGATCGACGCCGACGCTCCGCGTTCAGTCTTGGTCGTGGTCCTCGCCTGGCCCGGCCGCTGCGCCACGTCCTGACGAGGCACGTCTCTCAGGAGGGGACAAAACACACAGACACAATCAATCGGCGATCCCCCAGAAAATATGGGAAAACATGGGAAGTGGGGGGGAAGACAAAAACCCAGAAGATATGGGAAACCATGGGTATTTGTGTTATTTGTGCGTATTTATTTAATCGCTTCGCTCATTCCGCCGGCCCATATGGTCTCATGTCTGCCGTTTGCCCGAGGGCCTGGTGTCAATGCGGCGCTTTGGGGGTTCCTGGGGCCGCTTGGGGGACTCCTGGGGCGCTCGGGGGGGCATTTGGGGGGCCTCCTGGGGCCGCTTGGGGGACTCTTGGGGGCCTCCTGAGGGCCTCGTGGGGGCCTCTTGGGGCCTCTTAGGGGCCTCTTGGGGCCTCGTAGGGGCTTCTTAGGGCCGAGGGCGCGAAATTTTGTTTCGTGTTCCCTCTCTGGGGCCCCTTTGGGGGTGTTCTTGGGGCCCTCTTGGACCGTCTTGGAGGCTTTTTGGGCCGTCTTCGAGCCCTCTTGGGCCATCTTGGGGCCCTCTTGGGGGCCTCTTGGGCCCTCTTGGGGCGATCTTGGGGGCCTCTGGGGCCGTCTTGGGGCGTCGGGAACCGAAAAGGTGGAAGCTCCAAAATCTCTCAAAAACCTAAGGAAAAACAATGAATTTTGCCTCCGGGGGCCCTCTTGGGAGTGCTCTTGGAGGCCTCTTGGGGCGTCTGGGGGCTATCTTGGGCGTCTTGGAGCGATCTTGTGGCATGTCGGACCCCTCGTGTACCATCTTGGGGGCCTCTTGGGGGCCTCTTGGCCTTTCTTGGGGCTCTCGGGGACGTCTCGGAGCCCTGTTGGTGCGCTCATGGAGCGCTCCTGGAGCGCTCTGGGGGACTCCTCCCGGGACTCTCTCAGGACCTTGCCGGGGTACTTTTCGTCCGTGGACCCCCAGGGGCCGCCCCGCGCGCGCGAACTAGAGAATTGTTAACCAGTTACCGGAGATCTTAGCACGCCTCTGGCCCGTTGGGCCGGCGAATTTGTGTGTCCCAGGGCCCCTTCAGTCTCGAGCGTGTGCGCATGGGCTGGCACGAGAGCTACGAACGCGTGATCAGATCCTCACGCGTGAGGAGGCTCACTCTCTAGGCCTCCCAGGTGGGGTCGGAGTAGATGAGGTCGAAGGATCTCGACGCATCGCCGAATGCGGCTCGATGCGGGGCACGATTTACTTCAGGCCGACGTCGCCGATGCATCGCCCACGTCGACGATGCATCGCCGGTGCATCGCCAGTGCATCGCCGATGCATCGCCGATGCATCGCCGATGCATCGACGATGCGGCGCGATCCTCCGACCCCATCTGCTCGGACGCCTCCCAGGAGGCCTCGAATTTCTTCCACGCTCAGGGATCCCGCTGCAGGCGGCTTCAGTTGTCAATTCGCCCAGCTGACTCGGGCTCTGGCACGCCGAGCGTACGTGCAGCCCCCTGATCCCAGTCGCCTTGCTCACCTCATTCCTCTTGCCGTCGCTCGGACGTCCGTGTCCCGTGCACGTGTCGGTCTCGTGCGCGTGCTTTTGGCTCGATGGCCCAGGATGCCCCTCGACGGTTCCCGCCGAGGGAAAAGTGCACACGTCCGAGCGATGCCCGGTCCTGCTGCTCACGCGGTCGAGACGGTGAGCCAGTTGGTAGTCCCCAAACGTGGTGGTGACAACACCTGGCGGTGAGTCTCGGGCGATTTGGTGTCACCACCCGGTTTGGGGACTCGTGCGGTTTTCCGAGGATGTCCCGGACACTGGTGGGTCCAGGAGTCACAAAACCCGGTGGTGACCCCGCGTCCCCAAACCCAGTGGTGACCTTTTTGGGGATTCCAGGTCACCACCTGGTATCTCACCACCTGGTTCGGGGACCACCAAGCCAGGGAGCACCTCTTGGGGCTCGGGAGGGGGCTCGGGCCCTCGAGCCGCGCCGCGGGTGTTTTGGGGGTCGGGGAGCGTCCTCGTGGCCGGGGCTCGCCGTGGGCAGGAGGGCCCCTTCTCGGTGATCGTCCCCATGCCATCTCCACCCTCCCTCCCTCCTCCTCTTCTTGCCCTCCTCCTCTTCTTGCCCTCCTCCTCCTCCTCCTCCTCCTCCTCCTCCTCCCTCCCTCCCTCCCTCCCTCCCTCCCTCCCTCCCTCCCTCCCTCCCTCCCTCCTCTTCCTCCTCCTCCTCCTCCTCCTCCTCCTCCTCCTCCTAGGGGACGTTCACTCCTCCTCCTCCTCCTCGTTCCTAGTTCGGCGTTCCGTGTGTCCAGCAGTGGCGAGGCGTCCTGGCTCGCCTGTGGGCCTGCCAGGCACTGTTCTGGGAACCTTTTTGTGGTCTCCACGGAATGCTCTCGGAACGTTTATGGCTGGAGCTGTCCTGTTTTAGCACATCGGGCTTACGTTCTAGGAACATTGTTTTTGTTCTGAGAACATGTTTGGGTTCTAGGTACATTTCGTGGTAGGACTATAGGAATGCCGGGACGGTCGGTCCCTGCTCAAGTATGGTAGCACGGAGGCTGTAGTTCACGTCGATTCAACCGCCCCGCTCGGACTTTGTCCACTTCTTCGGTGCTACGTTTTGCCCTGCGGTCTCGTCAAGAGCACCTGCACGGCAGCGACGGGAACCCCAGTCGCTCGATCTACGAATTGACTTGCTTCCTCGACTGCGCGCAGGATAATTTTGAGTCACGCCAGCTTGAAACAGGATTCTCCGGTGCATCTGGGCATCAGGCGAGCCCCGCCTGGGCCCAGGGGCTGGACTCTTCTCCTCCCGCGTCCTGCCACAGCTCATTGCTTCTCCTCCCCACCTTCCTCCTGCTCCTGTTCCTGCTCGTTTTGCCCACTCGGCTCCACGGTCCGGATAGATAGAGGCGGGATGAGGGGAAGAGGGCCAGGGGATGCGGAGGAATGGTTTTAGGGCCGGTGGGGTCTGCAACTTTGTTAAGCCATGATTCGATGGTTTGCCCTTCGTGCGTGTGAGACGACAATGCTCGAGTCACTGGACGCCGATCTTGCATGACTGTTAGCCCAACCAGGAGCGGCGGGGAAGTTCCAGGAGCACGTGCATGCAGAGATCGATCCACGTAGCAAGGGGGGACTACGGTGTGAAGCTTGGTGGAACTTCCCTGAACGCGTGACTCGGAGGATGAGACATGTCATCAGCATATTTTCCGAACTCTGCGCGGATTTCTTGGGTCCGTCGTTCGGCCTCCGTGGCGGCGGCGGCGCCTCAGGCGCTGCCCTTTGCGCGCTCCGCGCGCCAGGGAGGGGCCCCCAGCGCCGATCCCAAAAATCTGCGAGTGTCTTGGCAGTTTGAAGAGAGGCTGCCCACTGCCAAAGGGCTGGGCCTGGCCGGTGACACGTCCGCTAGAGGACGTCAATCAGTCTTGCGGGCCTCAGCCTACGGGGCAAGCACCCAGAACGGATGCTAACCGCATATCAAGGAAGTCGCACCGCTGTGGCACGCTGCAGCGTGCCCCCCCCCGCCGCTCCCCTCCTCACCGCTTACCGCTGCCTGCTTCCTCGCTACTCTCTGCACCATGCCCTCGCTTCGTCACCACCCACTCTCTCTCTGAATCTCCTCGGGAGCCATTTAAGTCACGATGTAGGGGCAACCTTTTTACCATTTTTAAGAGAACATGAAGCGTCGATCGCTTTTCCACACGCGGGCTTGCCAATTGTGTTCAATCAGGTCGGGTTTTAGTTACCCGCTGGCCAGGGCCGCTTGTGTGGAGCGAGTTCTTCGCCGAGGTTGGCCCAGCCCGCCCGAGCGACAGAAGCCTGGAGGAGAGGTTCTCGAGCCTGCTCCATTTCCACATTGCGTGAGGGGTAGACGATGTCGGTAACCTCCGGCCATTCCATTTCGGTTTAGTTCTTCGTGCAGCCTGCGTGAACCATCCTCTCCGACCTCGTCGTCGTCGTCCTCCTCCTTCTCTTCCTTCTCCTCTTTTTTAGCCTCATCCTCTTACTCCTCCTCCTCCTCATCATCATCATCATCATTCGTATCAGTATCATGATCATCGGCATCATCATCGTCGTCGTTGTCATCATCCTCGTCGTCATCGTCATCGTCATCATCATCAGCACCATCATCATCATTATCATCATCATCATCAGCATCAGCATCAGCATCAGCATCATCATCATCATCATCATCATCATCATCATCATCATCATCATCATCATCGCCGTCATCGTCGTCATCGTCGTCATCGTCGTCATCCTCATCATCAACATCATCATCATCATTATCATCATCAGCATCATTATAATGATCGTGCTCCTCCTCACTCTGATCCTAGGACCCCCGTCCTGATTGTCTGGCTGTCTATCGTGTTGGATGTCAAGTTTTCGTTGGTTGTCTGGCTGGCTGGCTGGCTGATTGGTTGGGAGGTTGGCCGGCTAGCTGGCTCGCTGTTTGACTGGCTGGCTGGCTGGCTGGCTGTGTTTGAGTGGCTGGTTGAGTTGTTGGCTGGCTGGCGGGTTGGCAGGCTGGTCTGCCTGTTCGCGGGCTGGCTTGTCGGTTGGTCGGCTGGCTTACCGTGCCAGGGGGGAGAGGGCCACGGCAAAGGAGGGAGCCATGGGGGTAGGGAACCAATTGGGGGGGGAGGGTCCCATGGGGGATGAGGCCAGGGGAGGGGTGGGGGGCCAGGGGAGGGTAGGGGAGGGGACCAGGGTGCACAGAGCATGGAGTGGCCTCCCAGAGAGAGAGAGAGAGAGAAGTACGACATGGTCAAACGCAAGAATGTAAGGCAACGAAGAAGGCAAGGACATTGTCGGGGCGGAAATGTGGGCAGTTTTATCTGGCGCGCCCAGACGTAAAGCCTGCGTGCTACAGAGCCGTCCCTGTCGGATTGGGCCCCGCCATGTGCCAGGCATGCGCCAACACAATGTGGCCCTGTTTCCCTGGTCAGCAGCATCAACGCCACTGGGCATGATCATGACAACCGTCATCACCAACCACATGCCGTGGGAATGTCACAGCGCCAAACGCATTTACGGGCTGGGGGAGGGGTAATGCTAAATTCGGGTCCATGGCTGTGGTATCCCGGGTATTCAGCCTGAGGGCTATTAGCGGGACCCATGGGGCCAAAGGACGCATTTCGTTTCGGATCAATACTTCTCAGCAGGCGCCCGAGCCGATCGTGGTTTGTGGCAGAGGCCGTCTTCCGCTTGCGCTGGATTGCAGGGTGTGCTACATGCGTAGGCGAGTATGGGCCATACACTTCACATGTCCTGTACATGTGAGGGGCAGACCCGCGAGCCCTAACGACTTGCCTGCAGCGAAACGGTATGCCAGCGCACGCGATATTGGAAGGTTGTAATGCCCTTGAGTGGTGGAGGACGAAGAGGAGGAGGATGAGTCACATAATGAATGCTCAGGATGAGGGTTAGGAGAAGCGGAGGCGATTGATGATGAGGGGATTGACAGGACGAACATGATGGTGAAGGTGTTGAGGCGGAGTTGGACGAGGATGGGTGGGACAATGCGCAAGGCGATATGTTTGATGATGATGCTGATGATGATGATGATGATGATGATGATGATGGTGGTGGTGGTGGTGGTGATGGTGGTGATGGTGTTGGTGATGGTGGTGGTGTTGGTGAAGATGACAATGAGGGTGGTGGCGATGAAGACGACGCCGACTACGATGGTGACAGCAATCATGATACTGAGATGCACGACGATGCTCATTTGTTGGCAATGGTGGCGATGCTGATGATGCTGATGATGCCGATGGTGATGACTACTACGATGATGATGGCGATGATGATGCTAATGATGCTGATGCTGCTGATGATGATGCTGATAATGATGGTGGTGGTGGTTGTGCTGATTGTGAGGATGCTGATGATGACGACGACGACGCCGATGATGGTGTTGATGGCACTGGTACTGAGGATGAACGTGCTGCTGATAATGATGGTGACGATGCTGATGCTGGTGACGGTGGTCCTGATGATGAGGACGAAGATGCCGGTGATCATGCATCTGACGCTGATGCTGGCGATGGTGATGGGAGGACGATCGCGGAGGCGGGGAAGGACGATGCTGATGATGGTAGTGGTGATACTGATGATGATGCTGATATTTATTATTTTGTGTGATGATGTTGATGATGATGCTGAGGATGGTAATGATGCTAAAGCATATTCCGATGAAGCTGCTTCACCTCCTGATATGGCGAGTGTTCATCTAATCCGATTCACCTGTGCTTCCCCAACGCTATAGGAAGAACAGCGTTAGACATAGGAGCAGGAGCAGGAACAGCAGCAGCAAGAGCTGGACTGGAAGTACACAGCGGAAGAGGAGGCGAAAGGCAGGCAGGTGAAGCGGCCAGAGCAGCTGCAGTGGGCATCAGTAGGAGCAAGCAGCAGGATGTAGGAGCATCGTCTGCTCCTCCTCCTCCTCCTCCTCCTCCTCCTCCTCCCCATCTCCTCTTCCTCCTCCTCTTCCTCTTCCTCCTCCTCCTCCTCCTCCTCGTCCCCCTCCCCCTCCCCCTCCCCCTCCTCCCCCCTCCTCCTGGATGATGAAGCACGGGGAGCACTAGGATGAGCAACATAGCGGCCTGCCTGGAATATTACGGTGGCGCGCTCGATTCTCCCGTCATATTGTTCGCTCTCCCTCCTCCTCCTTCTCCTGCTCTTCTGGCTCCCATCTTCCTAACGCTCCTCCTTCACCTCCTGCGGCAACTCTTCCTCCTTTGGTTCCACTCTCATCCCTCATTTTCCCCACCTCCTCCCCTTCTCACCCCTCTTCATGCTGGTGCTGCTGCTCCTCCACCTCTCTTCCTCCTCCCCTTCCTTCGTTGTTGGCAATCGTAGGTTGGGGGGTGAGATCGCTGCGGAACGGAGACCCCCAACCGGGAAGTCGTTTCGTTTCGTTCGTGTCGTGCGTGCGGGCGAGGCGCAGCTGCGTGGGCGCGCAAGAGGAATGAACCCGCCGTTGCCGGGGCGAAGTCAAGACAAATGATTCTCCTCCTCCCGCCCGTCCGGCGGTGGCTCGCGGTGTCCCGCGGTGTCCCGTGGTGTCCCGTGGTGTCCCGTGGTGTCCGCCGTTGCTAGGGCGAAGTCGAGACAAATGATTCTCCCCCGCCCGCCCGTCCGTTCGTCCGTCCGGCGGTGGCTCGCGGTGTCCCGCGGTGTCCAGTGGTGTCCCGAGGTGTCCCGTGGTGTCCCGTGGTGTCCCGTGGTGTCCCGTTGAGTGAGATCGATAGTGAGATTGATATTGAGATCGATACTGAGATCGACAGGTGTCCCCTGGTGTCCCGTGGTCTCCCGTGGTGTCCCGTTGAGTGAGATCGATAGTGAGATAGATATTGAGTTCCATAGTGAGATCGATGTGATGTCCCGAGGTGTCCCGTGGTGTTTCATGGTGTCCTATAATGTCCCGTTGTGTGAGATCGATAGTGAGATCGACTGTGAGACCGATAGTGAGATCGACAGGTGTCCCGCGGTGTCCCGTGGTGTCCCTTGGTGGTCCGTGGTGTCCCGTGACGTCCCGTTGAGTGAGATCGATAGTGAGATCGATAGTGAGATCGACAGGTGCCCCGTGGTGTCCCGCGGTGTCACGTGGTGTCCCGTGGTGGCCCGTGGTGTCCCGTGGTGTCCCCTTGAGTGAGATTGATAGTGAGATCGATAGTGAGACCGATAGTGAGATCGAGAGGTGTTCCGCGGTGTCCCGTGGTGGCCCGTGGTGTCCCGTTCTGTCCCGTTGAGTGAGAGCGATCGGAGGTGAGGGGGTGAGATCGAAGTGGAACGGAGAGCCCCCCTACCGGGAAATCGATTTCGGTTTCGTGTTCGTGCGTGCCGTGCGTGCGGGCGAGGCGAAGCTGCGTGGGCGGGCGAGAGGAAAGTCTCCTGTGGCTGAGGCGCGGCCGGACCAAATGATTCTCCACCGGGCGGCCGGTGGCGCGCGGTGTCCCGCCGGTGTCCCGGTGGTGATGGTGATGATGATGATGATGATGATGATGATGATGATGATGATGATGATGATGATGATGATGATGGTAATGATGATGATGATGTTGATGATGATGTTGATGATGGCGATGATGATGTTGATGATGTTGATGTTGATGATGATGATGATGATGATGATGATGATGATGCTGATGATGATGATTATGACGTCGATTGCGAGATCGATTGTGATCGGTAGTGAGACCGAATGTGAGACCGAATGTGAGATCGATTGTGAGATCGATTGTGAGATCGATAGTGAAATCGATAGTGAGACCGAATGTGAGATTGATTGTGAGATCGATTGCGAGATCGATAGTGAGATCGATAGTGAGACCGAATATGAGATCGATAGTGAGATCGATAGTGAGATCGATAGTGAGATCGATAGTCAGATCGATTGTGAGATCGATCGAATGAGATCGATAGTGATATCGATAGTGAGACCGAATGTGGGATCGATTGTGATATCGATTGTGATATCGATAGTGAAATCGATAGTGAGACCGAATGTGAGATTGATTGTGAGATCGATTGTGAGATCGATAGTGCGATCGATAGTGAGACCGAATGTGAGATCGATTGTGAGATCGATTGTGATATCGATAGTGAATCGATAGTGAGACCGATTTTGAGATCGATTGTGAGATCGATAGTGAGATCGATAGTGAGACCGAATGTGAGATCGATTGTGATATCGATAGTGAAATCGATAGTGAGACCGAATGGGAGATCGATAGTGAGATCGATAGTGAGACCGAATGTGAGATCGATTGTGAGATCGATTGTGATATCGATAGTGAGATCGGTAGTGAGACCGAATGTGAGATCGATTGTGAGATCGATAGTGAGATCGATAGTGAGACCGAATGTGAGATCGATTGTGATATCGATAGTGACATCGATAGTGAGACCGAACGGGAGATCGATAGTGATATCGATAGTGAGACCGAATGTGAGATCGATAGTGAGATCGATAGTGATATCGAGAGTGAGATCGA